AATAACGTTCACAGCTATGACACACTGTAAAATTAATTTAATATATACAATAGAAATACAATTAGAAGAATAATATAGAAATATGTACATACATAATTTAATTTCTTCCCGAAACAAGATAATTTTCGGCATATTTTATAAGTTCTATTCTATATTAATTGTAAATGTTGTTTAATTGAAAAAAGATTTTTATTCAAATTTGCAAGAATTTTGATTGTATGTTTTTTCGCTTCTAACGTCATAATCTAAGAGTAGTGGTAAGTGAACATACACATACACACACACACAGGAGTTATAATATAATATCATTGTTGCTCTGCCTGCGGAAAGTTGGACAATCACTCACTGCGACATACTGTATGTGATAAAGTGAAAGCAATGTTATTCTTTCAAATAAAAATTAGACAAATCGGCTTTTCTAATATTAGTAATAATTGCCATGGATTTAGCTTGCTTAAAACTTGGAAATTACTTACGTATTACGGTATATATTCAGCTTTCGATCAATGTTAACTCTTAATGTTAACTACGATATAATTCTATAAATATAAATATATAATAATTTTTACAATTTATAATTATTTTTATGAAATACTCCATTTGATTTGATTTGTAAATGTAATATTAACGTATTAATAATACGTTATATTAACAATTTAGATTTATGTAAACGATTTTTATAAATAAAACAGAATATTTTAGCAATAATAAATAAATATTATGCAAATCATTACCGAAATTTTGCCAAAAAGAGAGAAGCAATGATCCAAAAACAAATAAATAATTTGAAAAACAATTATACAGAAACAAAAGAAAAATTTAAAAAATCGTATAATCTATATGACAAAATATTAAAATAATTGTAAATATTAAAATAATTATAAAATTAATAATAAATATGGAATAAAGCTTTTAACGGTCAAACTGGTTTTCAATGTTAAGATTATTCATCAATTTTTGATATACTACGTATGTAGTCCTTTAAACTGCGCGTCGAAATGATTCAGCTTGAATTAAAAGTTTTTTATTCCATATTTGTTGTGTGATCACATTTATGATCTGAAGAAATTCCTTGTCTAATATCATAAAATTAATACTGTCTAATTTAATTAAAACATAACATCACTGTTGCATTTTAATAGAATGAAACCAAAAATTTTTAAGTCTTACGAAAATCTCGCTATATATTCTTTGCAATTAAATTATAATTTTTTTTTTCAATTTATAATTATAATAATATGTTATTAGATATGGATGAAAATACTTCAACTGTGGATTAAGTTTTTATTTATCTTTTTCTTGTTGCCAAATTTTTCACTATTCATTTTTCAACGTAACTGTATAATTGATAATTAAATTATATTACAACAGTTTTTTTTACAATATCCGCTTACTGCATTGAATTAATTATAACTAAACTAATTATTACATTAATTGTATAAGTTTAAATATTATGTGCGACATTCATATTCGTCATTTAATGTTACTGCTGCATATAACTAGCTGCTGCATAAACTCAGCGTTTTAATTCAATACAATTAATGATATTCCATTCAGTTTAAATATCACTGTGATTACATGTGACATAAATGAAATTCAAAATTAGGCTAACTATACTAATCATGGAACGTGGAAAATTTAGATTAGTCTTCTCATTATGATGTATATTTAGAAAAAGTATTTTGATGTAGTCAAAGATAGCTACACGAAAATTACAGATCAATATCAGATATTATAATTATATAAGAATGATAAAGACTGAAAAAAATAGAATCATACCAAAAGATGACAAGTAACACACACGAAATGTTCCCATTATTAAATGTATTAACAGGGAATTTGAAAACAGAATTTTTAAGAGCTTATAAT